TATTATTGTATAAATAAAATTATAAAAATATAGAATTTTTCATATTTATAGCAAAAAATATTTTTTTTTTTGTTAAATGTAAACTAAAAATTGAACAAAATGATAAATTCATATTTATACCAAGAAATGTTTATATAGAATTCAAATTTAATGTTACATGAATTATTTATAACTTTACAAAGTTAAATTTAATTTAAACAAATAACAACTAAATGTATTTCAAATTACTATTATCAAATATTTATAGCATAAGTACATCCCAATTAGGTTGGCACCTACTTTTATTATAATTTCAGTACATCCCAACTAGGTTGACTTTCTCCCTTTTTTTTTCAAATTAAAAAAAAAAAAAATTTCACGGGTCAGCGGGTTAACCGCGGTCCACCTACCCGCTAGCCTGCGAGTCACACCTCCTTGACCTGTGAATCGCTCGCTCGGGTCACGGGTCGGCCCGCGGTCCCAGGTAAATCCGGGTCGGTTTTCACGGGTCTGAGCGGCCCGTCCGTTTTGACACCTCTAGTGAGTTTTCTCATTTATGCCTGCCCATCATTTTTTATGTTTTTTTGTTATCATCTATTTATGAGTTATGAAATCATAATTTATGATAATTTTCAGTGTTGTTTCAACTTTCATGTATGATTTATGAATTGGATTTGGAATTTGGGGAAATTAAAATTGGATTTGGATTTGGATTTAGGGTTTGGAATTGAATTTGGAATTGGATTTAAGGTTTGGGAATTTGGATTTGGAATTGGATTTATGAATTTGGCACTTTTCGCTTCTATACATTACCAACAAAATATAATAACACTACATTCAAATATGTAAAACTATCATAATAAACGATATCGTTCTTACAATCGCTGATTGTCGACGTTGATCGGTCAACGTCTGTCGGGGTTGAGCTTCAATGCTAGGTCCGCCACTGCTTACATGACAAACATTTTCCCAATCCCGCAAATAATGCTTGTGTTCATTAAAACTGTATTAGGTAGCTTTTGACCACATGGTTTGTCACCTCCCATAAATAAACTCTCCCAAACAGACAATTTATCAAATTCTCTTTTGCCCCCCTTTTTTGTGGATAGGCTCGTGTTGTGTACCACACAATAAACATGCCATTAGAGGTGCTAAACATGCCGCCTCAGCAGAAAAAATGCAGCTTTATTGCAACCCTTCTTCTCCTTAACATCTAGTTACCGAGTCCTTAAATCTCCTTCACCTGCTTCTGTACCATTCAGACCCCGACTGCACCGCGAAAAACCAAACATCACTCTGAATTTATAAGGAAGAAGATATCGAATTTTTAAGACGTAGATGTTTTCTAGTTGCTATGATTAGTTTGTGTTGTTAACGGGGAACCTCTAGTTCCACCATTGTGCATTTTTGGGGACTCTGTAGTTGATGTGGGAAACAACAACAATTTGAGGACACTAATCAAAGCAAACTTCCCTCCTTATGGAAGAGATTTCATCACCCACATACCAACAGGAAGGTTCTGCAATGGAAAGCTTACCACAGACTTCACCTGTGAGATCTTTTAATAAAAGCTCGACTCTTATCTCTTTCCCATAAAAAACCACTCTCATCGTCCATCGATGTGTTTCCTTGTGTACAGCTGAGTACCTGGGATTCACCTCTTACCTACATGCGTACCACAGCCAAAAAGCCAAAGGTAAAAATATTCTCACTGGCGCCAACTTTGCTTCAGCTGCTTCTGGTTATTATGACAGAACAGCACAGCTTTACGTAAGAGAGAGAGCACCTAGATTGTGATAGTTCTAATTCTTGCATACGCTTTTGAAATTGCAGCGTGCTGTGACATTGACACAGCAGCTAGAATACGAAAGGGAGTGGCAGATCAAAGTAGTGAATTTGGTACGGAAGGTCAGAGTTAATGCTATATTCTCAGGAGAAATACACCTAATAAGTGCAAGGAGCAGTGATTTTATTCAAAACTATTACATCAATCCGTTTCTCAATGGAGCTTATTCGCACTATCAGTTCTCAGATATTCTTATGAAATCACACTCTACCATTGTACAGGTGATGCAAAACTCTCTTTATCTACTTTAATTGATCTTATTAACATGCATATAGTATGAACTGAAGTATAATACAGTAGTATGCAAACTGCAATTTCTGAAAACACAATATGTGAAGTGTAAAGTGTCTTTTGTAAATTTGAAAACCTGTGATACGACTCACAAACTTTTACAAACTTCTTTGATCCTTGACTTGCAACAGAGTTTTTCTGAACGCGAATGGATATGGACATCAACTTTTATATCTTCACAGAATTTGTACCGGCTGGGAGCAAGACGAATTGGAGTTACAACCCTACCACCAACTGGCTGTTTGCCAGCAGCCATTACGTTATTTGGTTCAGGAAGAAACCAGTGTGTGGCAAGGCTGAAACTAGATGCTATTTCATTCAACAACTAAACAATACGTCTCAAAATTTGAAGAGCAAGCTTCCAGGATTCAAACTTGTAGTCTTCGACATCTACCAGCCTCTACTGGAGTTGGTAACAAAGCCCACTGATAACGGTACAATGACTAATTTACAATTTCCTCTGATTGCATAAGCATCTGCACAAGTAATGAGAGAAATGATAAAAAAAATGGAGCCTTCAAAGTTCCTTAATATGTTCAACTTCACCCAAACATGTCCTCCTCACTGGTTGATACAGCGGGAAAGGCCATGTGATTTCATGTTCCAACAGCACACAATACAGAGGGTGTTTTCAATTTTCCTTTGATTCTACTCTTTCTATAATTTTACTCTTTTCTTGTTTTTTCTATTAAATTTTGATTGTGCTCCAGGATTCTTTGAGTCTAGGAAGGCCTGCTATGGGACTGGTACAATTGTAACATCCTTCCTCTGCAATGCAAAGTCTGTGGGGACATGCTCAAATGATACAAAGTATGTGTACTGGGACGGATTCCATCCCTCTGAAACTGCTTATGAAAAGTTGGCTCAATGTCTACTAGAACAGGGATTTGATCTCATCTCTTGATGCCACTACTACTAGCAGTAATCATCCGCATTTCACTAATATAATAATCCTTTCATATATACCGCGTGCTTTTAGAGTTATAAAGTTGACTTAAACACTACTTGTATCCTTGGTTACAGGTATCATGTATGAGATGATTTTAGGTTGATTATGTGATCCTATGATAAATATGTTGGCTCATGATCCTTTGTACTGAAGAATGTTATCACCAATTATGAGTTTGTTGTAACTGAAACCATGCTACGGTGGCCTATTATGCAAGAGTCATGGTATTATTAAAACATTTTAGTTTAATACAGTCCTGTCACCCCCTCCGTAAAAGAAAAATGGAAGTATAAAGAAAAGAGTAAGAAGATAAAGAGAAAAATGATATTGCATGTATTTATTCACTAAAGTATTTTATTTTTCTATTTTTTGGTAAGAAAAAATTATTGAATCCCTCTATAATTAGCATGGAAGAGACACCGATTTTTGCCAAGTATCTAGAAAGAAATTTGTGTCCATATATACAAGAAACAGTATAACTACCATAAAGCACTATATTCATATATTAAGTCAAAGATTCCTACCTTAGCATAGATTGTCAGAAACTTCTAAGAAAGTTCAAATCCAGCATTAGAATTGATGGCATAAAGAAGTTTTGCCCTCAAAGTACTGGAGCGTTTGTATGTTGGTAGCTGAATCATCAAATAGAACCAAAAAGGACAATAGATTATATATTAATCATGACAATAATAATTGATGTATTTTAGTGAATTATTCTCATCAATTTGTGGAGTCCTGTATGCCAAAGTAGATGGTACCTTGAGAGTATTATAGCATGTAGAAGCTGATGGAAGCCGATCCACATCTTGACCTCCAAATGTTGCCCATAGAGGTACATCACAGACAACCTACTTAGGTTAAAGTTCTCAAATCAGTCTACAAAAATGCTACAGACAGTAAATTATTACAATGTCTCCAGAATCATTAATGATTGTGGTTCCCTCATTTTTCTTTGTATATATATTCTTATCGTTTATGATCTCAAATAGAAGCTTACTATGGATTAAGGACATAACTCGGGCTTTATGAGCTAGGTTTAATGTGATTCACAGCTCAGGTTACTAAGGACTTGACACTATAAGGTCATACTTTGCTCAAAATAGATTCCTCTACAAGGCTCAAACTAGGCTTATTGTTTGCTGAGCTTGACCAACAAAATAAAAGATAAATCTCGGTTGTATATACAAGCAAAAGCCTAATTCTGACACTATCAATGCTCAAATGTATTAAGAAAATTTGAACAATTATTTTGATGGGTCTGAATAAATTCGTCGAAGTAAAATTCCATGTAGTTCATACATATCGTGAGACAATAATTAAAACTGAAGTTGACAAACACCTTCACCGGACGCTTAAGAAGAGAAGATCTGAGTAAGTACCTTATGAATGGTAAAGGCAGGCTGCAGGTGTTTGAACCCAAGCAAAGGAGCTCGAGAACAACTGGTCACAAACTTAAGAAGCATACAGCGTTCTCTTGGTTCAAATCCCCCAAATACCTGACATATATGAGGTCAAAGAAGATATTGACAAATATTGTTACAGCAGATGATTAATCAAGCAACCAACTTCCATGTTGTTCAACATCAGATCAGTGATTAAATACAAGGGTGTATAAGAAAAGAAACAGAGAATACTACAAACTTGTGAATCAAAAATTTAGAAATTAAATAGGTCACTTGGTTTCGTGATTCCCAGGGCCATTTTTCCGTCAGTGATTCCCAATCAACTTTCTATCTTTGTTTGTTTCATAGGAAAAACATCAGTACGTGCAAAGCACATTCAGAACATCTCCAAGAAACTCTATCCATAAAGAGCATCTTCGAATTTAGAGAGAAATTTTTTACACACTTCAACAATGCCTCTATTTTGGCTCTTCACTGTGCTTTCTTCAAGAAACACTTATTGATTTCTCCTCATTCAACATATTTTTTTTATGTATCAATGACCAATCAATTCAAATATGATTTGAATAATTAAAGAAGTAAAGTATTAAAATCCGCAACTCATCATTATAAAGTCAGAATAGAGACCGACTTCGGCTTACCAAATTGACTCTCTATTTTGACTTTTTAAAATAGAGAATGGGTTTTGCTCTTCATATTTGCAGAGCCAAACTCATCCCCTAATTTAAAAAGTTAAAATAAAGAATCTCTTGGAGACTATTTTTAAGCATTGTGTCACGGACTTGTTGTTTTCTCCAAGCATCGTGCGGCACTTAATGTCTCCAACTTCCGCCCCTACGGTTTTTACACTAAGTCAGCCCAACTAGCGTCGAGGTCTTAGAAAGGCACCGAGTAGAACACTTAAGAATTTAAAGGAAGAACACAAGTGTTTAAAACGAAAGCTTTGTATAGAATAAAGAAACTTTACAATACTTAGAACTTTACAACTTCACTCTCTCTATCTCCAAATGAATGAACCTACCAAACTATTTATAGGCAAAGCCATTCTTAATGGATGACTATGATCAATTTGATCCAACGGTCTACATTCCGTCTCTAGAATTTTTTACAAGTATCCATAATAAAATATGTACAAAGAATTAACTAGAATTATCTACAAGTATAAGGCTTGCCAATTATCTAGAATTCTCCATTACCTTCTAAATAGTTTCATGAGCCATCATAGTCTAGAACATTCCGGATTAGCTTCAACACCCCGTTGTTCTAGATAATTCTGTCATCTTTGCTATGAGACGAGCGGTAGTAGAACACTTAAGAATTTAAAGGAAGAACACAAGTGTTTAAAACGAAAGCTTTGTATAGAACAAAGAAACTTTACAATACTTAGGACTTTACAACTTCACTCTCTCTATCTCCAAATGAATTAACCTACCAAACTATTTATAGGCAAAGTCATTCTTAATGGATGACTATGATCAATTTGATCCAACGGTCTACATTCCGTCTCTAGAATTTTTTACAAGTATCCATAATAAAATATGTACAAAGAATTAACTAGAATTATCTAGAATAATCTACAAGTATAAGGCTTGCCAATTATCTAGAATTCTCCATTACCTTCTAGATAGTTTCATGAACCATCATAGTCTAGAACATTCCGGATTAGCTTCAACACCCCGTTGTTCTAGATAATTCCGTCATCTTTGCTATGAGACGAGCGGGTCGCGATATTCTCCCCCCCCCCTTTAGGCGACGTCCTCGTCGCCGTGTAGTACTTCAGTTTGTCTTTGAACTGCCACAAGTCTCCTTGTGCCTCCCAGGTTGCTTCGGACTCGGGCAATCCTTTCCATTTGATTAAGTATTGTTTGCAAGGAGGTACTCCACGCCTTCGAACCACGCGATCTACCAAAACCTCATCAACCTCCTTGTCAAAGGACTTAGTCACAATCGGAGG